TAGAAATGATCTGTGGTCTTGCCATTTTGCACCATTTACAGCAACTTTATTCGCAGTTCTAGAATATAATATAGCATTTAATCACAAACAAATTTGCCCATGTAACTGCTGTCAGACAATATTGTAATTCCACACAGCTTTGAAAGCAGATAATATCTTCTCCTTTTAAAGCTGAATAACACTTTCTTTTATAAATATACAGCATTCCTCTGTGAAATGTTGGGAAGGTATTAAGGTAGGACCCTGCAGGACGCAGATAAACACAGCATAAATTATTATAACACAGCTCTCGTGACCTGATTTGTTGCTGACTGTCTGTTGTATACGGTGAACAGTCCACTGCTTTTGTGTCAAAAACCTATTTTTGTTTTCGTGGAACATTCAACTCAGCAGTGGTCTCCCTTCTGAGATAAAGGGAAAACAAACAAAAATGAACATAAGAACACAATGCATCGCTGAAATCCTGCCACCACTGAAGCAGTTTAATGCAACGGGTATATTCACATGCTACCTACATTCTTTAGTAGTATGAAGCAAAAATACTTTAGTGAAATGCGCCCTCTGGTGGGTGTTGAGTGACATAAGCATGCAATACAGCAAATAGTGAGATTTAAGATAGATGACATCCATTACATAGATTAAACTGCAAACAGTTGTTGTTTTGTCCAGTGTTGTGCATCTTACATGCATCTTGCCCTTGCATAGCCACAACACATTTCTATACAGCGAGGAGCCCAACAACTTGTACAAAAAAATATAAAAAAATAGTCCTTTTAATTGCCTCCTTGTTATTTTATATATTAATATGTTTTTATTATTAGGGGCTTGAATAGGACTCTAGTGTTGTAATGCTGTATGTCATATTTCGTATGGAAAAATCTTCAAAAATAGCTGTAGCTGCCAATGAAATGTGAAAAGATAAATGTGTAAAAGCTGCATTGACATAAACAGTTAAATGTTTTTAGTTCCTTTCAAGCCCTGCTTTTGGAACCGCATCATTAACTGATCTTTTGAACATTTTATAGATGTGCAGATCAAAAAACAACCTCACATTTGATGAGAAAACAGGGAACATTTGCCATTTTTGGGCGGATAAACAGCTTATTTTAATCAGAAATGTTACTAACTGAATAGTTAATAATCAACATTTTATGATGGTGATTATTTTATTATTGTTATCATTCTTGTTCTTTCATTTGTATACTGAATAAAAACCACTTCATGGGTTGTTTTTATAAAGTTACATAGTTACATAGTTAGATAAAACCACAGAGGTTCATGTGAAATGTTACTGAAGAAGTTTCCAAAGATAACAAATCTTCATAAATTTGAGGAAATGTGTGTGAAATTATGCAAAATCAACATCTGCAATATTTTCATTTGGTGGAATTGTGCAGCCTTGAAAATGTGATTGTTTCACTCAGTGTAAACATCAAAGTTTCAGTTAAAAACTGGAGGAAACAAGAAGATTCATACAACATTGTGGCAGAGCATGATTTAGTCAAACTTAAAGCTCCCTATTGGGAAATGAATTAGAAAAGCCTGTATGTTTAGAGGTTAATTATTACTTTTTAAGCCTCAATTAGTTAACCTATGTGCTTCTATACATTTGGTTGGCATAGTGAGTGCTGCCAACCTGCACATTATCATTGCATGTACACACATGAGAGAATTTTGTTTTCAAGACGATGGATGGTACGAAAGAAGGATCCTGCTGCTCCTGCACCACAAACCCGTATAGTCTAATTCCTTATAATATTACAGCATATACAAAAGTACTTATGAGGACTTTACAAAAAAGGCTTATTGATGCCCATCAGGGTGGAAAAGGTCAACAAAATCCACCACAGTGGGACAGACTGTCTGCAAATGGAAGAAATTCCAGACAACTGTTACCCTCCTCAGTAATGGTCGACTAGCTGAGATCACTCCAAGAGAGGGGCAATAGTCTGCAAAGTCACAAAGGAAACCAAAGTGTCTGATAGACAACGAAAGGCCTCTCCTACACTGGCTAGTGTTAGTGTTTATGAGTCCACAATCAGCACACTGAATAACAATAGAGTGAAGTGGAGGGCTGTAGAGAGAAAGCCATTGCTTTCGAAAAAGAACATTGCTGCCTTTCAGCAGTACAATGAACAAGCCAGAGGACTATTGGAAAAAATGTTAATGAGATGAAACTAGAACTTTCTGGTTTAAATGAGAGCTGTTATGTTTTTTTTTTTTAAAACACTGAATTGTACCATCAAAACATTATCCCATCTGTGCTGGTGGCGGCATAGTGGTGGTATCATGGTTTGGACTTGTTTTGCTGCATCTGAGCCAGGCTGGTTTGCCATCACGGATAAAACAATGGATTCAAAATTTCACCAGCAAATTCTAAAATATAAGGACATCTTTTGGTGAACTGAGTCTCAACAGAAGGTAGGTCATGAAGTAACACAACAACGACAAGAGCCAGAGTTGTTCTACATCAGAATGGCTGAAGGACAATAAATAAATTGAAAACTGACTCTTGACAGTAGAAATACTGATGCTCAGGAAGAGCAAAAGATCCCCCATGAAGTGCTATAATACTCCAAATAAAAAACTAATAGTCTAATAATTTATCTAACAGCAGTCACTATTTGGTAGGCTACAATAAAATGTGTTTTCACTGACACAGGCTGCTTGTTGCTATATTTTGCTACTTTGCCAAATGAATGACTAGATAACTTATGTGCTATATCTAATTATGAAAATTCAGCCATGCGTACTTTAGTTGAATAAACAAATCAGACTTCTATGAACAATAAAATATTATCTCCACAGCTGTTACGGCACTTAGGACACAATCTGAGGAGGACCACCATGACTGTAGCTTATGGGCTAAACTGTAACTTTGTGTATGACAGCTCACTTATGTGAGGTGAAGACAAACTCACTTCATTATTACATCCTTATCAATCCTGACTCAGCGTTCATGCAGCAACTACAGCTACCAAATAAATGTGAAAAGATACATTATGTATAAAATTACATAGTTTGATTGGCTATTGTTTTAATGGCATCTCCATCATTTGTTTTTAAGAAGTTCAGATGATTATTTTACTAGAATTATTTTACTTAAATAAGTAATAAAGGCCAATTAATGGGTTGTATTAAACTTGTGGTGACACAGACACGTACTAACAATGAGATATGAAAAACAAACCAAAACACTGCCAGGGCTCGTCCGGGATTTGAACCCGGGACCTCTCGCACCCTAAGCGAGAATCATACCCCTAGACCAACGAGCCACGTGACACCACTCCGGAAATAATAGAAGTGACACATCAAGGCCAGCCTATTATTAAAAACGCTTTTGGCTAAATGACCTTTGTTTAGGGTGACTCGACTCACATCGTGAGGGTTTAACGGTTGGGTGTTGTGTTCTTCCTCCTGAAACACAAAAGACGATACACACCACATTTCTCTTTGACTTTATTTATCAAAATATATCTAATAATCATTCGCATATTTAACACAGCTCAGCGTTGAATATACTTATCGAAAATCGTAATTACTTGCGTTGAAAAACAGTTTTGACGAAAATGTTTGCTGTAAAGTAGAAGAGAAGGAGCGTTGTTGACGAACTTATCTCTGCAATGACGCCAGAGATCCAAACGAGGTAAGAGGTCTCACTCCTTCCTACTTCTGCTCTCTGTGCTGGGCAGACGATTCCATGTCATTGATTGTGTTATTTCACAGTTTATTTTAAAAGAAGTTGCAGTTTATTTTATACTTTGCATAAATCAACACAGAAACAAAACTGTCAGTTTCATTTGATTATTTTTAATGCAACTTTTCGATGAGAAGCATCAACACAACCACACAGATCAGCCGTTAAGGATTAAATGCCATAACTGTTGAAGTTTATAACTTTCATTGGATCACTTCACCCGCTTAAAAAATAAATAAATAAATAAATAAATAAATATATGTATATATATATTGCTGGATTTGTGATGCTAGCGGATGCAATTTAAACACCATGAGGCCAGCAGAGCAGCTTTAAATTAAAAATTCCTGTGAAAATATGGCTGAGAAAGGAGGTCACAGACATCATGCACATTGATACCAGAAGCCAAAAATCCATGTTCGAGTTTGCATTTGCGGCTCTGTTGGCCAACATGTGATATCAGCCATGTTTGTAGGGCATGACAGTGGAACATGTACACTACAGAGCCCCGGAAGGGACATGGAGAAAGGAAAAAAAAAAAAAAAACAGAGAGGGGGAAAAAAAATAGAGGTATCTTTTGCAGGATCTACCAAAGCTTTTGTGAGATCTCACAAAAGTCACATCAATCTTATGCTTCTTGCTAAGCACTACTTGAATGTCTTTATATTTTAGGCTGATTTCGAAATAATACTCAATAAAACTCTCGTACGGGTGGGTGTCCTCCGCTGTTGGTTCTCCATACTGTTAAAAAGACCCAGAAGTACATATACCTATAGTTTTGCGAGATCTCGCAAAAGATACCTCTATTTTTTTTTTCCTGTCCCTGTTTTTTTTTTTCTTTCTCCATGTCCCTTCCAGGGCTCCATAGCACACAGATAAGTTGTCAGTTTTATTTTGTCAAACATTTTCAACTGAGTACTAAATAAACTAAATAAACAGCACAACTAGTGAGCTTCCAGCATCTCACTCACCTTAGTGTTGCTTTCATCAGACTCAGCGTGTTCGAATTGTTTTCCCTGTTAGTAGTTCTGAAGAAGCATACCCGATGTGCATGCATGTGTGATTGTAAAAAAGAAACAACAGCTTATTTGAATGCAAGGAATTTCTTTATTACCAAGAAACAGCCTTAAATTTCTGACCAGGGATTATATCAGCAATTCAGATTTTTATGAAATCATCCAAACTCCAGTACGTTGACCACTGAGCCATGAGGCCCACTGGACGCCTCATACATAGAGATAGAAAAACGAGGATGCTGAGAGGATCCCAGTCGATGCATTTGTGTGTCTAGCAGATGGCAGCCTCAATTCTTACATCCAGTGCAGGCAGGGTTGCTACATCTTTCACAAGAATCGGCACTGCTGATGATTTTCACTGCAAAGCACAAGATAAAATGTAAACACAAGAACTGATAAATATTCATTTCACCTAAAAAAATGTCCTCATGCAACCCAAGGGTCTGCTTTTCAGTTGATGAGACATTACCGATAGTGATAATGGATCCATTTCTGTCTCAGCACGACACAGACCATTGCTCAGTTTTTCATAGGCCTCATGCAGTAGATGTAGGATGGGCATAACACAATGAGTAAACAGTGGGCTCTGGAAATCCATGTAAGTAAAATAACTGAAGACTGTGCCTTGTCAGTGTCAAACTCTGACAGTGCATGTGGTTGAGTGACAAAAGTAAAGGTTCACCAGCAATGCTTTGAGGAGCTGGTGGGTATATTGTTATTAGGACAGAATCTACATCCCACGATGATGCACCTGAACATTAAGCTAGGTATTAGTGACCCATTTTTCAAAACCAGCATCTGCTTTAAGATTGATCAGGCATGGGACAGGAATTAGGAAAAGTACCGACTGACATTAAAAAAGTGCTGGTTTGGCTTTCATGTGAAGTATTTACAAAAACATAAAATAGTTAGCATCCTTTATTTAAATGTTGATTGTGAAAAGAAACCTTTCTGTATTAAGATGTGAACACAGTTGTCTTTCTGTTTTGTATATTGTTGTAATCCTGCAATATGATTTACTTGCTATGATTAAAAGCTCAACATCACCGTAGCATTATCTTCCTACCCATACAACATCCCTCTGCAATGTGTTGGCAGCAGTGGACAGGATTTTTACATAATATGTTGACTAGATAACATTAAATTGAACCCTGAGCAGTGTAATACAAGATTGCAAAGTGTTTGTGACAAAAATAATCTGATGTTGTACAGTTAATGTATATCTACTTTTCACTGGCTCAGACTTACCTAGTTCTGAGAAGACATCGTATGTTCCCTCCTCTCTGCACACCCGCTGAAAGACCTTTGGCAGTAGAGGGTCCTTACAAGCCTCTTCAACGTTTTCCTGGGGGAGCTCAGTGTCACCATCGTCTAAATCCAACAGCTCCACTAGGTCCTTCACTGACTCCAACGGGAAGCTTTGTTCTTCAACCTGGAGAGGACAGATTTAGTTTTAGGGACAAGAAAATTCTGCCACAGTCCAAATTTTTACATACACGTGGTATTAGTTGAGAGAAAGAGCATGCTGTTGTGATACTCACATTAACCTGCACACTTAGAGCTCCTGTGCACAGACAGAGCACCATAGCAAGGACAACACTGAGCGCTCTCATTTTCAGATGATGTGAGGTGCCTTCAGTTTTTCTTCTGTGGTTGCTGTAGAGCTTACAGACACAACAAGGCTGGAAGGTTAGCTGACCAAATACAACTGGCAGTGCATGGTATTTATAGAGAGGACCAACAGGTAGGGAGGGGAAGTGGGGGATCTTGCAAACAGCTGATAAAATCAGAGTGAAAAAAACAAAGAGACAAAACACTCGGGGGAAGAAGACTGACTCCAGACCTTACCTGATTAACTTGTATTACAGGAGATGACTGACAACACTATAACAAAGACAATGCCTTCTTCATCAAGAGCAGCTTTGCATGGCTTCAATGTGCATTCTTCTTCATTGTATTTCTGTACTGCCTCTTGGGGATTTGTACAAGTTACTCAGTGATTTATGAAACAAAACTGGTATTACAAGAGTAAAGGTGGTCGGACAGCGACTGGTCAGAGATAACCAAAGGCTGCCAGACTTGCTGGACCAGTGCTTAGGATTCTCTTTTTTGGTTTACAACCACGGTCCTTTAACTTGTTCATCATGTTTGTTTTTCCTACATCAGCACGACACAACATTGACTCTGGGTTTCAGACCTACACAATGTTTCGATGCCACCTAATAAATCTCAGCTTTTGGTTCAGTCTTAAATATTTGTAACAGCCATCTGATAAATCAGCTAAATTCAGAGTTGTTAAAAGTCACTTGACGGAATAGCTGAGAAACAGTGTGTACAGACATTTACTTTCGTTTGCTCTGCTGCCCTTGTCTTTGCCACTTATGTGCAAACTCAGCAGTAACGTACCGCTCTCAGCTTCCGTAAATGTGGGTTTAACTGAACCAGCACTTTTTCTCTGGCTGATCCAAAGTGAGTCACTGCAATTAATCCTTGATGGCTGGTGTCCATGTTGTGCCGTTATTTAATGCATTTTCTCAATAGTATGTTGTTCAATATATGCAGAAAGACATTTGATTTCAAATGAGAACTTAAATTTTGTCTCCAGACTTACTGTAGAGTTTCAGTGGACGCAATTTAAAACACTATGAAGGGCAGAAAAGCAGCGGTCAAAAAAAACAAACAAAAAAAACCAAAAACATTCTCTTAAAGCCTGATGACCACATGTGACACCATTAATGGCTATGAAATGCTGAGATTGAAAGCAAGCCAAACACTATGCATATCAATACTGAGGCCAATAAGCCACATTACCTAAATTAGGTTTGGCCATCCTTGCAGATAAAATTTGGTTGTTTCAGATCTGAGTCAATTCACACAAAAAGTCACCAGCAAAACAAATGACTGTCTTGCAGATCAGAAGTGATTTATTTTGAGCATTACAGTAGAGCCACATGAGCATGTACAAATGGGTTATCAGTTATGTCAATAAATTTGATGCAGAGTGATTCATCTGACAAATGAGTTAAACAGTACAACTGGTGACCTTTCAGTATCTCATTCACAACTCCCAGTAGACAAAGTATGCAGTTATTAACAGCTTTACACTCCTGACAAGGGATCAGCATAAAACATGCAACATTCAAGGCTAGTCACATTTCTATGTAACCAGTCAAAACATTTGTTGATGATGCCCGGAGAATCCCAGTCGATGCGTTTGAGAGTCTTGCAGATGGCAGTCTCACACCTAACAACCAGTGCAGGCAGGAAAGGCACAGATCTCACACTGATAGATTTTATTGAAGACTTTCACTGCAAAGAAATGTACATAGTCATTAATGATATTACAGTGATAAGGGATCCATTCATACAGCAACGTGTGTCATCTATGTCTAATGAGGTTTAATAACCCCCAGACACCCTTTGCTCAGCTTTTCATAGGCCTATTACCTGGCATTTTCATTCCACATTAACCTGCACACCAAGAGCTCCTGTGCACAGACAGAGCACCATAATAAGGACAACACTGAGCGCTCTCATTTTCAGATGATGTGAGGCGCCTTCAGTTTTGTCTTCTGTGGTTGCTGTAGAGCTTACAGACACAACAAGGCTGGAAGGTTAGCTGACCCAATACAAGTGGCAGTGCATGACATTCATACAGTATTCCAACAGGTAGGGACAGAACAGTGTGCAAAGACCAAAGTAATCAATAGGAAGAGTATGGTTTGCATGCAAGTGCAAAAGTCTTATGAAGTCCAGGCAAAAAGCTTATAAACAGAAAAGAAGGCTGATATTACATTAACTTTGGGTGTCAGACCAACACACAGCACCTTACTGCCACCTTATGAATCTCATTCCTTGTTTTGCTGAAATATTTGTTAGAACTGTCTGATAAAGTGGCAAAGCACAAAGAGCTGTCACTTACAAGTCACTTGATTGAATAGCAGTGATACAGTATAAATGACACTTACCAGATAAAGTTCATTTGCATTTAGTTACAATTTAAAAAAACAAAAAACAAAAAAAAAACTGCAATGAGTTCATTTGAGATTAAAACTCTGCAATAAATTTAGGTAACACTTAAAGTTAAGAGACTTGGGAATAGAAAAGTACAAATGAAGTGCAAAGTTAAGTTTGGTGCAAAGGAGCTGCTCTTGTCCTAACTTTGATACCAGATAAGTGTCAGATCTGTGACATCATTGTGAATCCCATCCTAAAGTCTGGACACAGCTCAATGTCAGAGACAAATCCAAAGTAAAATGTCAAGTGAATTTCTCAAGAAACTAATCTACTTAGAACAAACTTCTAAAAAAAAAAAAAAACAAACACAAAAAAACAACTCAAACCTGGTGAACACACAGCAAAGATCAAACTGCAACACAGGAGGAAGGAGAACAGAAGTGGCACATGACAAGGAAAAGACAATTTATACTCAGAGAAGTTATTGGAGAGACAAGACACAGGTGATGCAAGAGACACAAGTGAAGCTAATGAGACAATCAAAAAGAAGGGACGCTAGACAAAGAGAGGAAGTAAGCAGTGAGAGACGCAAAAGGACAGGATACTTTTCAAAATTAAACAGGAAATATAATTAATAAATACAAATACAGTTGTAGTCAGACTGCATGAATCCAGAGGCATTGTTTTGGTAGTCATATCAAATATAATATAACCTTAGGACAAACTTAGAGACCATTTTCATAGACAGTAAACACTAAGCAATTTTATTCACCGTGACAACTTTCTTGCTTTAACTTGTTGCAATAAATGCACTATCAAAATGTTGGCTACTCAGGGAAAAGGGGAGAAACAAATGTTTGGTATGAGGAGGTTCTTGGTCTTCCACATCCTAATAATTATTCATTATAAGAGTTTAAATACAAGTAGCTGCTGCTGGACTTTGTTTGTACATGACTTCAAAATATTGTTCTCTCTTTTAAAGTTTTGCATTTAAACCAGATTTGAATAAACTAATAGAGAAAATCAGATTGTAGTACTTTAAAGTCCGTCTGTAGTTATATTGCAAGTTGTATCTGTTTCACATCAGTTTTAAAAAATGCTTTTAATGGATCCTGGGCTTTTTTGCTTGTGGCATTAGACAGAAACAGGTTGTGAAAGGTCAGGAATGTTTGGTCGATGGCTGTTGCATTGTTGAGTGACCGGTAAATGTTCTTTATTGTAGGGATGTCAGTGTTCTGGGGTGTGGCATGTTCTCCTTTCAGTATGATCATTAGAGAACATAATTAAGTGGCCAGACAGGATTGTGTGACTTTGGTGGATTGTTTAAAAGTAGGTTTAGGATTGATTTGCACTGAAAATATTTAGTCTGGAAAAAACTACTTTTACCATTTCAGAATATCACCAAACAGAAGTCTTCTGTACAGTGTGTAGAATGTGACTGATGGCATCCAAAATGGAGAGAGTGTTGCAAGGATGCAATCAGAAGACCCTGACCCTGTTGTTCAGACAAAAAGAAC